TCATAAACGATCATAAATTTTTAGTCGGAACAGTATTTTTCTCTCATATAAACCAGCCAGCAGTATTTCTTCATAAATCAGCAACGATACGAATCAGCCAATCAAACAGGCTGTGAGTGCTCAGGCCATTAACTCACATGCTATGTTGCTGTTGCTTCAACTCAAAAGGCTTTGGACTTTGGACATGCAGAGCCTCAGCAATCAAACGCCGCATCCAAGTCAGGTTTCGATCGCACAGAAACCACGCTGGTAACGCGGGTGTGGCTTGTGCGTGGTGTGGGTACTTCTGTGTCTTAGAACGGGAAAAGAGGGAGGTGAGTCCAGCGGTTTCCTCGATTTCATCCGACTCGTATCTGACCCGCGCACGAGAGTAACGGACTCTTTTTTGGGGGGAACGAGAGTAACAGACTTGGATTTTTTATGGAGTGCGCGTGCAAGAGAATACTTTGAACGAGGTGGGGCCAGCGGTTTCCTCCGGTACCGCGTACTGTAACGCGTAACAGTGGATGTTTGCTTTTTCTACCGAAGATTTAATTCTACCGTGGACGATTTTCCGGAGCCTTTTTAGGTGTAGAAAACAGATGTGAGGCTGCCGACTGTCCCCGACACGGACTCAGAATTGTCTTCGACATGGACTCTGTACACGTTCGTGGACTCGAGTATACGTATTTGGTAGTTTTTGTGACAGGGTAGTATAGTCTTTGTGACCGGATAGTAAATGATTTTTTTATCACCGGGTAGATGATTACTTTAGAGTCTTTTTAGATGTATAGAGATAAGAGCCATAGTTAAAGATATGTGACACAAAAAAAGATATCAAGGAATAGCAAATTAGTTTCATTAAATTTTGTATGGAATATCAATTTTTTCATCAATTTTGTATGGATTATGTCTTAATAGTGTATTTATTTGAATTTGTATATGCTAATATGGTCTTCTAAAACTTAGTCGAAGTTAGAAAACTTTGACTTAAGACAAAGCTAAAGTAAACAATATTTTCAAACATACACCATCAACAAGAAAAAGAATGCAATTCTCGTTTTACGAGGAGTCAAACAATTTTACCCATCCCGATCATGGATGTCACGATTATGGATGCATTGTTTTCAAAATACAATTTGATAATTATTGAAAAGTTATATATGCAGTCTCTTGGAACGTAGAAATTTTACATAAATCATACAAAAATTTCGCATAAAATCAATTTAATTTTATATAGGAAAAATACAGGAATAGAAATTTTTTTCTACATCCCAAACGGGCCCTTATATAGAATCCAAAAACACAAGCCCAATGGTTCACAAAAAGTGATTCTGGAAAAAAAAATAGGAGAGAAACCAAATCCAAGTCCAAACCTTTCCCCTAGTTATTTTCTCAGCTTTAGCCGTTTTGGACTCCTAGTCATAGTTCGGATCCCTGTCGGCATCCTAGCCCCAATTTTATACAAGACGGCCAGGTGCTCTGGTGTGTGTATATATACTTCAATTTGTTGATGGTGCTCCCCTACGTTGCCTCCGATCGACCTTCAATCGTCTTCCACAATGGCACACGCCTGTGCCGTCCCATCGGTGAACGGCAAATCGCTGCCAGTGGCAGTGGCAGAGACGTCGTCGAGTTGCCTGACACAAGGCATCACCGCGGCGCACAACTTCGAGGTGATCAACTTCTCGCTGCTCGAAGGCATGGGCGTCGGCGAGTTTGTCAGCTCGAGGAATTTCCACGTCGGCGGCTACGACTGGAACATCAGGCTCTACCCAGACGGGAGGTCGGCGGAGCATGAAGACAAAGTGTCGGCCTTCTTGATTCCCGAAGGAGGACAGGAGGGCGTGCGGGTCAGGTTCACCTTCACCGTCTTCGGCAAGGATGGCAAAGTGTGGGTGAAGGAAAACGCGGAGCATACCTTCAAGTCACCTTTAATAGGCTGGGGCTGGCCCCCCTTGATACATAAATCCAAGCCTCGCTTCCGGACGCTGCTGCGCGACAGCAACGACGGCTTCACGGTCAGGTGCGTCCTGACCGTCATCCAAGACCCCCGTGTCGAGGACGTGAGCGCCATCGTCGTCCCGGAGCCCAGCGTGCTGCAGGACCTGGCGAGCATGCTCAGGGACGGGGACGGCGCGGACGTGACGTTCGTCGTAGACGGGCGGTCGTTCCCGGCACACCGGTGCGTGCTCGCCGCGAGGTCCGCGGTGTTCAGGGCGGAGCTCTTCGGCCCCATGAAGGAGAAGGCCGCAACGCGCGTCAAGGTCGACGACATGGAGCCTTCCATCTTTGAGGCGCTGCTTCACTTCGTGTACACGGACACTCTGCCGGACGGTGGCGTTGCCACGGACGACGACAAGGACAGGAATGTGCCGATGCAGCACCTGCTGGTGGCCGCGGATCGGTATGGGCTGGACAGGCTGAGGCTGCTGTGCGAGGTGAGGATGTGCCGTAGCATCGACGCGGACACGGTGGCGACTACTCTGGCTTTGGCCGAGGAGCACCGCTGCGTGCAGCTCAAGAACGCTTGTCTCGGATTCATAGCTTCGCGGGGAGTGCTTGCTGCTGTCGTGCAGACTAGTGGGTTCTGTCATCTCGTCGAGAGCTGCCCTTTGGTTCTGTTGGAGATTTTGGACAAGCTAGCTTCTCTAGGAATCTAGTCCAATGATAGCTCTATGTTGCCTCCAATTTAAAAGCTGATTCCTCCATTTGTTCATATATACTAGTATGTCTCTGCTTTTATGACACAGAGTCATGAATAGATCGAACCACTGCAGGCTTGTAGCAGAATTCCTAATCAAGAGAATGTGTGCCACTGAAGTCTGAAACTAGTATCTTTTAGGCTGCACTTGGTAGAGCATCGGCTAGCTTCAATTTTTTCGTGCACTATAGGTACTTTTTTATCTATATCTTCATAGATAGATGAACTATGAAAAAACATGAAACTTTTTTTTTAGCTTTGTCGGCTCTGGCTCGTAGATTTACATTGTATCGTGGCAAAGGAACTAGAGACAGATGAAGCCGTGCCAATAAAGATATCAAACAGAGCCTTCACATTAATTTCCACAAGACGTGCTGTGAAAAAAACAAATTCTCAAAAATCATAAACATTCATCCATCAATTCAATAAACTTTGGTCATCACTCAATTAGAGCAATTTGATCTATTTTTTTCTAAATAAATAATCACCATCCTCTGTCATTAGAAAAATAGTATAAAGTAACCTCCTAAGTATATTGAACAAAATGACCCACCACTACCGTTATGAAAAATACCTTCATTTAATTTACCCATAGATGCCATTATAAAAACAACATAAAAATAATCCTTAAATTTGTCCATATCGCTATTAATTAAAATAATCATAAGTAAACCCAAACATGTACCTAAGTTACCTACATCTATAATTATAAATGCATGACTTAAAATGCTTATATGAATGGTTGAAAATACTCAAAACTGTAACTGCTATATGGAGAGATCAAGTTGAGAAGTGCTTTCATTCATGTGTGATGAATAATTGACACAAGAGTTGAGAGGTTTGGGATTTTTTTTTATTTCAGCTCATATTTCATATGTGTTTGTTTATGCTAATCTGAGGTGTCACATTATGTTGTGTTGAGTGTGTTGTGAAACATGTTCAATTCCTTGGTTTGTGAATGTGCAGATGTTGGGTGCGTCGAGGTGGTCAACAGGGGATGGAGAAGGTAAAGCGAGGAGTCCATACACGATGAACCGAGGGTTGAATAAGGCAGACACAAAGACTTGGATCGAGGGACCAAGAGGCCGAGGACGGATCGTGGATAACACACATTAATTGGGCACATGTAAGAATAAGAGTACATAGATGATGGCGTTCACCAAAGCTAAGGTTGTTATAGCCAAAGTACCAGTAATTAAATTATTGGTAGTAAACTACCGGGGCAAATGCACATCATTGCCGGTTTTGTAGTCAACAACAACCGATAGTTTTGCTCATGTGTCGCTGCTGGCTGTTGGCTACATTTGCTAGTGATACTCATGTTTCATTGTTGATAGTAGCCAATAATAGGTAGTGAGCTACTTGTCCATTGCCGTTGCAAAAACCAGTAGTGATGGTTGATTTGAAGCCAATGGTGGTAGCTTGTTGTTTATTAATCCGTCCATCCTGTTTTACGAGGCGTAGTTTAGAATGACATAGTCTCATAAGTTATAATTTGACTATTCATTTACTTTATATTATATTATCATTTATGTTTATAAATTCATGATTATTAAATAATATAATTCCTTACAAATCTAACCTACGAAAGTTTGTGTTATAATAGTTTAAAATTGTTAGCTAAATGATTGATCAAAGAGTCTAAAGTTTAAATCTTAATACGTGTGTGCCTCTTGTAAGGCCTTATTTGATGTTGTCGGATTCATCTCAATCCATATATGTTGGAGTGGAATTCAGTTCAAGCTTCACTCTAATCCAGCCTAATACATGTGGATTTATGTGAATCCGACTATATCCAAACAAGACCTAAAAACGAACAGAGTAGCATGTATTCCAGTCAAAAACTTAAACTCGGATTAAAAACTACGCTTGGTTCAAAAGAAATAAAGCTATATTATTATTAGTTGGCGTAGTCACGTAGACGTGTCCTGCCTTTTCTAATATGGACGGTATTGCTTTGACGAGAAATGGGCGAATCTATGCTTTAACAAGAACTTCACCGGATCAGTGGAGCATAAAGTAGCAGCAATATCGAAGAACATGGCTAGCACTAGCACGAAACTTCCCCCTCGTTGCAGAGCGAATAAGAGCACGCGCCGTTCACCTTCTCTTTTCTCTCCCGCGACCACTCCATCCTAGCCGGCGATGCCTTCTCGTGCAGCTCCTGTCGCCCACTCGCCGTCTTCTTGGGTCGTGGCTGGCCGTCGGCGTCCGTACCTGGTCGGACGGATCGAGACGCCTCTCTCCAGATCCGCTCGTCACCGGCTTCGGGCAGTCGCTGCTGTCGTCCGCCAGTCCTTGAGGAGGCTCGACGGCCATGGAGGCACTGCAGTGGATTCTCTCAGCTGGGACCAGTTTCTTCGAAGGGATCCATCTGAGCAACGACCTAGACCGCCTCCGAGCCACCTTGCCCAAGGCTCGCATGCTCATCTATCGCAGCGAGTGGGGCATGTTCAAGGACAAGCAGCTCGCGAAGCTTCTCTCGCATCTCAAGGACACCACCTACGATGCAGAGGATAGAGGACACTAATCGGAGCAGGGCAGGTCAACTCTTCTCTTCCTCTCTGAATCTTGCGAAAACTTATATCCGTGGTAGCAAAGGAAGGATAAAGGAGATCCAAGATAAGCTCGACAAGGTTGTGGCTGAGATCGAGGGGATGCTCAATCTTATGGGTCTTATGAGCGTTGAGCCATCTCAGATCATGCGGGCGACGAGTTCAGTCATCAGTGCTCCGGAAGTGGTTGGTCGTGAAGCTGAAAGAAATCAATTGATCGAGATGCTTGGTGTGATGATTGGGCGTGAGACCCAACGGGATCAGGTGATCGAACTATTGGGAGTGCCACTCACTGGGGGTAGGAGGTCTGCAGGGTCCAACGGAAAGAGAGCAGCAGCTGGTAGTGGTGTCGCATCTACATCCAGAGCCAAGCAATCGAGAGGAAACAGTGGCAGGGCTGGACATGCTGAGATGAACTGCAAAAGCAATGTTTCTGTCATCCCGATTGTCGGCATTGGCGGGGTGGGGAAGACGATTTTTTTTAATTTTAACACTTTTTTAAATTAATTTTAAATTTAACACTGTTAGTTTTTATTTCTAAAACTAACATTTTTTGCCGTGTCTATTGCCATGACGTGGCGAAATGCTTGTGCCGCGCCATGTATAGTGATACGACAAGGGGGCTGACGTGACGACGACCTGGGTGCTGACCGGTGACGTGGCAGGGTCTGCCATGATCTGGGCGCGGCGACGCGCCATCCATCACGGCGCGCCTCTGTTCAACCGAATCCGAAACCGGCTCGCGGAGGAACGCCTCATGGAGTCATGGCACAGCTCTGCGACTCCCCAAAGCAGGCGACGTGCAGGAGTCAAACATCTGCACCGAGCACGAAAAATCAAAAGCGCACGCCTCTACCTCGACAGCGCCTGGATTCCCGGCTGCAGACACCAGCTGCCTGCACGACGCGGCCTCTGACAACATGGGTTCAGAGCACGCTAGCTTGACAGGAGAGAGTTAGCCAGTGCTCGAGGCAGGCACAGAAGTCAACCGGGTATATGCATGGGCGACTGGTCATGTACGCCATAATGCTGGCTTCAGCTCGGCATAGTACTACGCCGCAGCGACACCGCGACAGGTCATGGCTCCTCGTGTCGACGTGACCGGGCATTGGACATCTCCACAAACTTTGTCGAGTGTCATATTTTGCCGAGTATCCGAAATTTAGCATTCGGCAAAGATTTTTGCACTCGGCAAATCACATGTTTCCCGTAGTGTGCTACAAGTGATTGAATCTTTGTTACAGAATAAAAGGAAATTGAAAGTTGCAATTCAAATTATCTTTTGATATGGATATATAAAATGGCCAAGCATTATTGTTTGGTAATCTCGAGCACGGCAGTGCATGTTCCACCATGGACGACTATCATCATCAGAACCCAAAATTAACATGTCATGTTACAGTTCTCCATATTTTCTGGTTGATCGACAGCTTAACATGCATGTCTGGTAACGACTCGATTCTTTACCTTGTATTCCAGTAGGTCTCGGAGTCCTAGTTCAGGTAGAATAGTATTTTCTGAATTTGCAGGTATACAAGAGGACATCGACTACCACCACCACCACCACCATGAACGACGTGTGTGTTGAAGGTTTATCTAAAAAAAATCCTGCGCAGCCATGGCTAATAACAGGCCTAGTAATTCGTCATCGGTCGACAACGGCCACCGGATGTTACCGGAGACGTGGTCGACATGCCGGACACAGGCCATCACGTGTACGCACAACTTCGTGGTGACCGACTTCTCGCCGCTCGACAGCATGGCCCCCGGCGACTACGTCAGCTCGGGCACCTTCTTCATCGGCGGCTGCGAATGGAGCATCCAATTCTTCCCCGGCGGCGAGGGTGCAAAGGACGACGACGAACCTGCTGCTTATACGACGTTGCGTTTGAATCTTCTTGACGGACCACCAGGCGTGAGGGTTAAGTTCAGTATAAGTCTGCTGTTCGACAGTCATATCAGCATCTGGGCAGCCAACTCCGCTTATACTTTTTTTTTGTTGCATGTCAGTTTAAACTTTGTGCAGACTGCAGACGGCCGTGCAATGCAGCGCGAATCAAAACGTTCACTCAAGGTTTCATATATGCAAGCATGGGTCCTCATAAGCGTGTCCTTGCGCGGGTACTCGTCCGGCAGCCCATTTTCGCGAACACCGCGTGTGCAGAGGCCCGAGGTCATGCTATGCGGCCCACGTAGATTCCTTGGCCCTGTCGGCCTTTGACGGGCTGACTAGTCCTGTCGGAAATCCACATGCCGACAGGTCCCTATCGGTCCCGACAGGTCCCTGTCGGTCCGGCAGGAAGCCGACAGGTATCCTATCGCCGTGTTGCTATATGTCAAAAATCTGTATAGCAGCTTCTAGATTTGCAATTAATCCTTAAAAAAATATTATTTAAAAAAAATCGTGCCACGATGTCGCGGTGTCCGAGGGGGCACCATGTCCAGCGTGCTTGCGGCTTGCCTCTGGTGTTTCATCCCAGAGAGCTCTCCTCAGCGCGGCCTGGGCCTCAGGGCTGCTCGGCTACGCTCGTCGAGTACTGCATGCACGCCAGCAGCGAGCGGTCCACCGACGAGGCTGCCGCGCGCACCCCGCCCAGCCGGAGCGAGGGCCAGACGCTGACCATCGTCCACTGTGTCTTCGTGTCAGGCTTCACGACGCTGTTCCTGGCCGCGCGCGTGGCTGCTCTTCTTCCCCAGCTCTTGTTCCTGGCCGCGCTGTGAGGACGAAGCCACCCCTCGGGAAGCCACGAGATGCCTGCAGTGCGGATGCAACAGACTTGCAGTGCGGATGCAAATGCAAGCCTGCATAGATTGATACCGTAAAAATTGGATGTACAGTGGGATGCAACGTGAAGGTGCTTTGAGGAGAGTGCTAGCCTGCATATTGGCTTGTGCAGGTAACCAATCAGAGACGGGTTACACTACGGTGCCCTGGATATAGAGTTATGCAGACAACAAACAGGCCCGTGTGAATTAGAACCCCAAGAGTGCACGCAGGGGCTACGAAATGTTGAAAGTCCATCCCGCACGGCCGCACTATGGTAGTTGGGTTATATAGCTAACTTGGTCCTGTATGTGTCGCCGCACGATCGGCCCATGTGCAGAACCGTGGCACGCTCCTCGCCTTCAAGGCTTATCAAGTGCTCTAGTACTACTGGGCTACTATGTGCAATATCTGCTGAAGCAAGCGCTTGTTGTAATTTTAAATTTTTGGTTTTGGTAATCGGTAAGGCTTGTGCACGGAGCGTCCGGCTCTAGACCTGTGGCCGAACACAGCTCCTATTCGACGCACCTACCGCACCCCATCCCGTCCGCTGCCCCACTTAATACGAGAGCTTGCCCACTGCGCCCACGTCACCACACCGTGATGGCTCCTGTGCGACGGCGATGGCGTAGGCGAGCAGGCCATTGATTAGGAGCATCTCGATGAGGACCCACTCTAGGGCCGCATACGCCAGCGCGAACACATGCCACTAGCTTTACAGCCGCCCTTGGCTCGAGAGGGCGGGCGGCACGCGCTACGAGACTATCGACACGGAATTTCGCCCCGTGCCGATGGCACATGAGCAAGCCGGAAGTGTCCGCTCGATGGAACTAGAGATCTGCCTAGCTTCAGCGCAGGGATGGTCGATTCTGCGCACACCTCCCGAGATGTGACAGTCAATTTGACCCTACAATTGACAAGGAGAGAAAGTTTATCAGTAATTTTGGACGGAACATGCCGGTGTTGCCAGACAGTTCCGAATGTGCGGCTCTAAGAGCCGATATGAAAGGAGATCGACTAAATAGTCGATTCCATTATATTCATAAGGATAAATCGGTTAAACCTCGTGGGGTTGTGTAAGAAGAATTGGTTATCGTTCAGGATTAATATCATTCTTTAAACAAATATTGGTCAATGGCAATAAGATATTAACAATAATTAGTTTATACTGAGACAATGACTGCAAGTAACCGAACCCCTTTATAAAAGAAACAATTCATCATCATTCAACCATTTAATAGAGATAAATCTAATTAACATATTAGATCTCATCTATCGCTATGACCAGTGGGGCATGAGGCAGAATCATACAGGCCGTAGAAACAACAATAGACTCGACGACCCTAACTTATTACTAATATCAGTGGGGCATGAGGCAGAATCATACAGGCTGTAATACAATAATAAGATCATGGGGCTAACATATATTTCAACCTATCGCTACTTCAACGGTTTCGTGACGTGAACTATTCGTGAAAGCACTCGATATTGGTTAAAACAACCGAATCAAGCATAGCGCACAGTTAAGATCATGCCCTCTCAGAAACAGATCTACCAAATAACGATCCGCACTCCACGGTGCTAACAGTGGGGTGTGAGGCAGAATCACACTGGCCGTGATAATGGGCCATGGAACGGTTTTCGCTAGCCAATAGATCTACTCTACATCAGACACGTCTTAACCGCACGCTATGCACGACTAAGATTTATATAAAATAGCCGATAAAACATAACTCATCGTTTAAAGTGCAGATTGGATCAAATTTAGATTAACAAACGATGGGTTCAAAAAGATATAAGGTCGATCTAGATCAATCACAATCGAACGAAGTGATATTGCTGTAATTAAATAAATAATGGAAGCAATAAGCAATATCGGTAACTTAATGAATCTATCCGAAGGAACGTCACCCTTAGATAGAGTCGATAACTTGACCTTAATCTAGTTCGAGCAGTGGAGGTTGACCGAATCGATACAGCCTTACTTGAACTAGACAAGAGTCGATAACTAACTTATACCAGAGTCGCGGTGGAGGTCGACCGGATCGATGCAGCCGTACGAACAGAGGTATAAGCCATGACGGTACTTACATACAAGCAGTGGAGGTCGACCGAATCGATGCAGCCATACTTGCTGAAGAACTCGCCGAGATTTACTCTACTCCTACTCCTAAGGGGTGGCCGGAGCCAAAAAATAAGTAACTTGTATTT